GGCAGCCCTGCTGGCCGAGTCAGCGTCCGACCGTCCGGTTCAGCAGACGGGCGGTCCAGTCCAGACCGGTTCAGACCGGCTGGACCGGTTCAGCCCGTATTTCATTGTTTCTGTCCCGGTTCTTGGTTTTAATACCATTTTCAGTTAAAATTCCGGGTCCAATTCAGTTTAGTAAATTATTATCAGTTCAGTTCCGTACTTAACCGGTTCCAGTTGTACCGATTAAGTCCGGATATCATGTTAAGTCGAGTAGAGCATCTTAACATAATTAATCAGTTAATTTATCAGTCTGAGCATAGTCCTTAGTAATTGTTTATATTATTTTTCAATTTGATCAGGCATCAACACTACCTGCATTTTCAGCAGTTCAAGTGGGGACTCAGACTAAGTACTACATTGATTATAATTACTCTACCATGTTTGAGGTATGTATATTCAGTATCCGCGAGGAATGGTCGCCGGTCCATTCTGGGTTCTAGTGGCCCTGATCTGCCCACTAGAGTGTGCACATGGTGTCCGATATTAGTTTGTACCGGCAGATGTTCAGTTTCAGATAGGTGACTTATGTCACGAGATCAGTATCAGATTATTCAGACCGGTATCAGATATCAGTTTCAGTTTAGTTCAGTTATATATGCCAGGATCATGATATTGTTATTATTTTCACTGTTTTACTTTAGTATGAGTTTCCACGGAGCACAGTGTTTTAGTGCTCACATCCCACGTATTTCATGTTTTTCAGGTCACGGAGTCGGGGACGAGGAGTGAGCTGACGTGCTGTTCAGGACATTTATTTTGATATGTATATGTTATGTTTTGGCCACGCTGATATTCCGCTAAAACTCTCAGTACTTAAACTCAGTTTTTGGTCCGACACTAGTCGGTTAAAATATTATATAACCATTTTTATTATCAGTTTAAAATTAACGGTTTTTCAGTCAGATTTTCATGGTAGCACTCCGAATCAGTTTTCGCAAAATAAATATTTTATTAAATTATTCAGAAAATTTGCGAAAAATGCGTACTCTGATATTATTAAAATAGCGGGGTGTTACAATTGGTATCAGAGCACGCTTTTGCGTCTCTGAAAAGTTTTATAAGTCAGAAATTTTCAGAAAAACCTGAACCGTCACACTCACTCCTCGCCGACTACATGTAAGTGCTGATTTATGTTTTCAGTTATAAACATATTACTATTGTCTATGCTCAGAAATTATTAATCAGGACTTAGTTAAGATGCTCGAATCAGGATCAGACTTTAGAACTCAGTGTACTCAGACATAACTCTAGACGTCTTCAAGATCTATATCAGTATTTATCGGCCATTATTTTGGCAACTCGTCAAGAGATTTGTGTACTTCAGAAATTAGTCAGAATTATTTTCATGTGTTCAATAATATCGAACTTTTTCAATGTTCATATGCCGCCCCGTAGGGAACCCGATCACCCAGTTCTTCATCAGGCCACGGTGGTCGCACAGTTTCGCGACTATCACCCTGAGAAATTTTGGGCAGGGAGACCCCCGTATCGTGGACGAGTGGATTCAGGGCCTTGTGTTTATTTTCAAGGTCATGGATTGTCCAGACAGATATCGCGTAATTTGCGCTCAGCTTCAGCTAACCGGTGATGCCCGGCTCTGGTGGAATGCCTACTGGAGTATGCGTCCCGGCGAGAAGGCGGGATGTACATGGGATATGCTAAAAGAGCTGATCCGCGAGAAGTACTACCCCACCTACTATAGAGCAAAGATGGAGCGTCAGTTTCTGTCGCTCAAACAGGGTACTCGGACCGTAGACGAGTACGAAAGAGAGTTTACCAGACTTGCAGCTTTTGTTCCTGACTTGGTTCGCACGGAGGCCCAGAGAGCACAGCGCTTCATTGACGGACTTTACCCAGTAGTCCGTCATAACATTGTAGGTCACGGGACCCAGACGTACGCTCGTGCAGTTTCTATTGCCCAGGAGGTGGACGCCAGTATTAGGAGGGAGGCCATCTATAATCGTCCTCAGCCATCCGCCCCCGCCCAGTCATCCACAGCTCCACCAGCCCTACCAGCTGCCCAGCCGACGAAGGAGAAGAAGAGGAAGGGGAAGGGCGCACAGACCGACAGGAGGACTCGCCAGAGGCAGCAGCAGGTTCCACAATGCCCCACATGTGGACGTTTTCACCGAGGCGAGTGTCGCTTCGTCCAGGATATATGTTACTACTGTCACGAGCCCGGACACTTTGCTAACCGTTGTCCGAAGAAGGCCCAACAGTAGCCCCAGCAGCCTCAGCAGCCACAGCAGCAGCAGCAGCCCCATCAGCAGGCTCAGAGGCCACCACAGCAGCAGCAGCAGAGGGGCAGACAGCGGGCCCGTGTATACGCAGTCGATCAGGTCGAGGCCGAGCAGCAGCCAGGTACTATGTCAGGGATGATCATGCTTAATAATGTTCCTGTGTTCGCTTTATTCGATACTGGAGCGACGCACTCCTTTATTTCACGACGATGTCTTGATGCCATCGGAGTTCATACCTTTACCGCTGTCGATCCTCTCGAGGTGAGTTTAGCCTTGGGATGAAAGATAGTGACTTCAGCTAAAGCCTCATATCTCATCCTTTCCATCGGTGGTCGTTCACTGTCTGCCGACGCGTATGTTCTTGAGATGAGGGACTTCGACCTTATTCTCGGAATGGATTGGCTATCTTTTTATCATGCAGATATCAGATGTCATGACCGGGAGATTACTCTTTATCTTCCGGGAGACGAGTCAATTACCTTCTTTGGCAGCAAGAATCGTTCATTACCCCAGGTCGTTTCAATGGCGAAAGCTACCAAGTTGCTGCGACGAGGCAACTGCCAGGGTTATCTGGTGAGCCTTGTCGATGATTCTCAGAAAGCACGATCACCTCACGATGTTCCAGTTGTTCGTGAGTTTGTGGACGTGTTCCCAGACGAGCTTCCAGGAGGGCCGCCTAACTCGCAGGTAGAGTTCTCTATTGACCTCATTCCAGGAGCCGGCCCCGTATCCAAAGCCCCATATCGTATGGCGCCTAAGGAGTTGCAGGAGCTTAAGGCGCAGATTCAGGAGTTATTACGACTCGGTTTAATCTGACCGAGCGTGTCACCTTGGGGAGCACCCATTCTCTTTGTCAAGTAGAAGGACAGATCCATGCGCATGTGTATCGACTACCGGGATCTTAACCGGTTGACGATCAAGAACAAGTATCCGCTTCCCAAGATCGACGACTTATTTGATCAGTTGAGGGGCGTCTGTGTATTTTCAAAGATTGATTTACGATCAGGCTACCACCAACTGAAGATTAAGGAGTCAGATATCGCTAAGACCGCTTTCAGGACTCATTACGGCCATTACGAGTTCGTTGTCATGCCATTCGGCCTCAGCAATGCTCCAGCAGTTTTCATGGACCTGATGAACCGTATTTTCCATCCCTACCTCGATCAGTTTGTTAT